TAAGCCCCTCCCCGAAAAAGGGAAAAAGGGGGGTGGAAGAGGAACCGCCCTAGACCACCTACGCCCAAAAGGGCTGGTGGGACCCCATGAACATAAACTTTTGGCGCTCTGCGCGGGTTTCTTGGATCCGCGTTGCTGGGCACCCCGGGCGGCGCCTCTGGCGCCGCCCCTGGCGCGCTCCGCGCGCCAGGGAGGGGGGTCCAGTCCAGATCCAAGAGGCCCGCGCGGAGCGCCAAAAGTTTATACTCATGGCGTTTTGTGTGTTTTTATGTATTATTAGTATTCTTATTCGTCTCATTATTCTTCTTATTATTCTTCTTCTTATTCTTATTATTATTCTTCTTCTTCTTCTTATGATTAACATTCGTATTCTTGTTATTATTATTAGTGTTATTATTATTATTATTATTATTATTATTATTATTATTATTATTATTATTATTATTATTATTAATTTTATTATTATTATTAGTATTATTATTATTATTATCAATTTTAGTATTATTATTATGATTAGTAGTAGTAGTAGTAGTAGCATATACATTCCTTGTTTTGCTAGTATGATTAGCGTTGCCCTTGGTATTATCCTTCTTATTGCTATTATATGATTCGTAGTATTAATTCACTTCCTCTTACTATTCCTCTTTCTTTTCCTTTTAAACGAATTTTCCTTTCCAAGATCTCGGGCACCCATCCAGGATTCTTCTTCTCTTTTACAAGTATCGGAAGAGAAAAAGGCACCCATGGGCCGTTACCCTTCGCCCGGTTTCCCCTTTTTGGGCCTCCCGGGAGGCCCTCATCGCCACCGCTGGCTTCGCATCGAAATCCTGGCCAGAGCGCGCTCTGGGAGAGGTCTGGGGAGCAGCGGTGTCAGTACCTCTTGGTTTTCCCCAGATCTGCGCGGATTTTTTGGATCTGCGCTAGGTTCTGCTGGCGGGGGGGAGGCTCCAGCGCCGATCCAAGAGATCCCTGCGCGGACCTCCGAAGAGTTTTTTTTTTTACCGCGGCAAATTTATGTGCACGGACGGGGGAAGGCTGAACCTGATGCAAGCCGCAAACGATTTGCGCGTGCGGAAATCACGCCAGTCGGAAAGCGCTTGCACGCCAGTAGTCGTGCTAGTATCATTTTGAAAATGGGCGAGGGGGGGGTGGGGGGCGAACGCCATGCAAGCAATCTTTCCGGAATGTTTCAAATGTTTGGTAACAAAACAGGCTCGAATATGCATGTTTGTGCCGCCCTGTGCCGTCTGCAGGCGAAGGACCTGGAGGATGCCATGGGCGTGGAGCAGCGGCTGGAGGCGCAGGCGCGCCTCGACGCGGAGGACGAGCTCCAGCGTGCGCGGGCCGCCGCCGCGGTCGCGGAGGACGCGGCCGTGGCCGCGGAGGCCCAGCGCGCAGCGCTCGCGCAGGGGCTGGAGGCCGCGTCCGCCCAGCTGGCGGACCTGCGGGCGTCCTTCGAGGCCCGTGCCGTGGCCCGCCTCGGCCGCACCGGCAGGTCCGGAGTCCGAGGTTCCAGGGTCTTGCTGGCGTCGTCGTGTGTGCGCGGCGGGTCTCCAGGCTCGGACGGCCTTCCATCGGCTGCGCCTCGCCGAGAGCGTTCCGGGGGCGCTCGGACCGTGCCGAACGGCCACCAGCGAGCCAAAGTATGAACCCCCCAAACCACGGGGCAACGAACAGGAGGGGGACTGGGCTCAGGGGGGAGCGGCAGGGACCCCCGAAGCGCCCGCGCATCGCTGAGAAAAGGCCTGGCAGCCCACCCCGCCCAGGAGCGTGCGGTTTCGGTATCGGGGGCGTGTCGCTAATTTCATCGGCAACTTTGCCCCCCCCCCCCCCTGGCCCCCCCCCCTGAGCCAGGCCGCCCATGTCGACCCCCCCTCACACCTTGCGGGGCAGCGGGCCAGCATCGAGGAAGAACACACAGCACAAGTATCAGCTTCCAGCGGTCCGCGGGGAGGGGGCCCCGGCGCCGATCCAAGACATCTCCGCGTGCGGACCTTCGGCCGGTCGTTGCTATTGCCGCGTGACGCCTCTTCCTCTGAGCGGGCCTGCGGTTGCGGGGGCAACCGGACAGCCCAGGCATCCAGCGGCTGCAAGCAAAGGAAGACCCCCGAGCTTCTCTTCGACACCTTCGGCCCCCATGGTGGGGGCGGGCTTTGGGCTCTGTGGCCGTCAAGAGCTGCTCGGGAGGAGAAGCATGTCCCTGGGGGATGGGGTCGAGAGGTCCTGGGGGCACGTGCATCGCGCAGAACCTGGCCGCTGAATGTCTGGGAAGCCAGGCATCCAGAGAAGCGGTCAGGGATCGGCTCCGAGCATGACCTGCGTCTCCTGGCTGCCCAGGGGAGCTGGGGAGGCCCGGCTTCTCTGGCTGTCGGAGGAGGCTGTCTTGAGACAGCGGCGGATCCCCAACCCGGCCCAAGGCCGTTCCAAGCCAGTCCCTCTCCGGGGGTTCGTCCTGACCCTGTCCCGAGGCGCAGCCAGTTGGGTCGACGAGGAGCTCCCCATGGAAAACCAAGCAGGACAGGCGAAACGCCAGAGAAAGCCGCCGTTGCCTCGACTGACCCTCCTCCTGTGCAAGGCCCCCTGGCCCATGGTCTGTGGGTGTGTATATATATATATATATACACACATATGTATCGGAGTAGGCTGGGGGAGGTCCAGAACTGTGACCTTTGGTTCGCATGGGGGGCCAGGGGGGCCTTGAGGGCTCCCCCGGCCCCCCATGCGAACCAAAGGTGAGGGGACACTTTTCTCTGTACTTTTTCCTATTTTTGACGATTTGTGGACTACGTTTCATTTGTCGTCCATAATTCGCCTGGAGGAGGACATGCCCGACCTAAGCGTAGACAGGAGCGCAGGCCCAGAGATCCGAGGGGGGTAGGTAGGGGGGGACGCCTCGAGCCGCGGCTCCGCGGAGGCCGAGCGGCAGGCGAGGGCCGCGGAGGTCGCCGACCTCGGGGCCGCGCGTGAGCGGCTGGCGCACTTCCGCGGCGAGGCCCGGGAGCTGGGCGAGGAGCTGCGGGACGCCGAGGCCTCGGCTTGCGGGGCGCTCGGAGAGCATATCTCATGGCGCCGGCATCGCAGAGCGGATTTCGTTCGGAGAACGACAGGATGGGCCCAGAGTGGTCTGGAACATTTCGTTCCGGATTTCGAGGTGAATTTCGCGAGGATGTTTTGGCCAGGAATGAAAACAAAAAAACATCCGCGCGAAATGTACTTCGTTGTTCGCTCGCCGTTTCGGGGTTCTGCATTGGCAGAAATGAGTCAGAGCGTGAATTGCCTACCCCACTTTCGCTTCCAAGCAAAACCAAGTCGTACCACGCGCCTCCTCGTCAAGCGGCCTGACCAGTACAGGCCGTAGTTTGGCATCGCTTGGTATCTCTTGGAAGCGAGGGTGGTCAAAAGCGAGGTAGGTTTGTTTTCCCCCTAATGAGTGAACGCACAAATCTGCTGCAGCACGTCTGCAAGGTCGGTGCAGAGACATATCCGACGAGATCAGGCAATTATGCTTCTTCCTCTGGGGTCGGGCCCCTCCAGAACTAGATAGGGGAGCAGCAGTCAGGTCGCTGTGTCAAACTGCTGGGTCCAAAATGATTGCTGCTGCGCTCCAGAAAGGGCCTCGATTGGCGTCGGCTCGGTTGGCGTCGGCTGGGGGTCTGAGGTGGCCCAGCATTGGTCCGGCCAGCAGGAAGCGGGGGTGAGGTTCGAGGTTCTGGGTGCGAGAAGGTTTCTTATGTTTTGTTGTCTCCAGGGGTGGTTTTCGGGCCCCAGGACTGTCAGAAACGGATCTGGGGTGGACAACTTTCCCAGATGGACCCCGGGAGGGGTCCGATGACAGATTTTTTTAGCGGATTTGCCCTTATCCTATCCTTAGGTCGGACATGCCCTTCTACAGGGGGATTTTGGACAACAAAATCAAACATAGTTAACACATACGCAACCATATTCAAACATAGTCAAACAATCGCCCCAAGCCTATCTCCCCATATCCTAAGGATGGGGTTCTTGTAGTTACTTGGACCGCGCGGAACACAGGAAGGAGGGAAGAAGGAAGGAAGGAACACACCTCCCATCCTCAGGTCATCATTATTTTTCTGATTCGCTCACATGTAGACTCACTCATATTCAGACTCATTCATACACAGGTGCACTCGCTCTGAGATTACTGATGCTCAGGTTTACCATGCTCGGGATCACTCATATACAGACTCACTCGCACGTCGAGTCGCTTCTCACATTTCAGGCTAATCAGACTTAGGTCACACACACACACTCACACTCACACTCACTCAGACTCATACTCAGACTCACTCACACCCAGACTCACTCAACCTGAGACTCACCCATCCTCTGCCTCGGTCTTCCTCACTCAGACTCAGCCACACCACTGCCGCGCTCAGACTCAAACACACGTTGTGATGATGTCTCAGGCGAGGCGCTGGTTTCAGCAATACCCAGGGGGGGCGCCAGGGGGTGTCTCACGGGTCCGTTCGCGCCCAGAACGGGGGGATGTCTCAGGCGGCTTGCCTGTTTGGGTGCTCAACATCCTTCTCTTTCGGAGCAGTTCCTGAGGATGTCTCAGGCGAGGCGCTGGTTGCAGCACTCTCAAATGGAGGCCTCCAGGGGGTATCTCACGGGCCCGTCCGCGCCCAGATTGCGGGGATGTCTCAGGCGGTTTGCCTGTTTGGGTGTTCAACAGGCTTTTCTTTCGGAGCAGTTTCCGAGGATGTCTCAGGCGAGGTGCTGGTTTCAGCACTCCCAAGGGAGGCCTCCAGGGGGTATCTCACGGGCCCGTCCGCGCCCAGATTGCGGAGATGTCTCAGGCGGTTGTCCTGTTTGGGTGTTCAACATCCTTCTTTTTCGGAGCAGCTTTCGGCGCCCTGATAAGTGTTCAGAGGAAAAGAAGAAAGAGGAGGAGGACAATGATGAGGAGGAGGAGGAGGAAAAAAGGAGGGAGCAACTCGTTGAAATCGTCGTAGTCGTCGGCGTCTCTCTCGGCTTCGTCTTCCACATGAATTCGCTGACACTCCGATATTGAAAACGACAATGCCTTCTACCGAAGCATGTCGTCATTATGGCATGAACATATGGGGATCTGCGCGTCGAGCATATATCATTACGATTGTTATTACTATATTATTATTTCATATAATATTCCTCCTGTAGAGGGACAAACTCAACTTAACCTGATCCTCTCTTCTTGACAGAATGTTTCGGGGCCGTTCCAGTTTTCTGAGTCTGGGCCGCCTTCACCTCCGAGAGGGAGCGTCAGGGGCAACGGTAGGGAGGATGGGCCCAGGGGGGATTGCATCGCACCCAATCGCTCATTGATCGCCGATGCGATGGAGGCATTGGTTGAGGAACGTGCCCAGGAGGCTTCAGACCCTGGAGGATTCCTGATCTAATGAGGGCGGCGGTGATACCCATGGCCACTCCACGATTGGAGTTCCGCGGGCTTCCAGACCCTGGATTCCTTATCCAGTGGCTCCCTATCCAATGCCTTCCACGTAAGGGGCTCAGGCCCACCCCGCCCCGGAACGTTCGATTCGCTGTTGGCGGCCCAGCGCCGATCCATAATATCGGCGATGCGCCGGCGGTTCCAGGCCGACGTTTCCCGCCTGAGCTGGTGCCCCCCCCCCCCCCCGCCGACGTTGCCCCTCGGGTCGGGGGACATAAATCTCTTCCTTGGCGGAAGGCCGACGGAAGCAGCACGACGAGGGCGGCACCGTTGGCGGATAGAGAGTTGTCGCGAGATGTCCTTGGCATCGCTTGGGCGTGTTCATTCTTTCTCGGCGTGGGCCATAAGAGGAGCATCCTGGACCATCTTGCGAAGCATACACGCACGACGTCGACAAATGCACGGGGAATGGACGTCCGAGCGACGGCGAGTGGCAGGTTTCTGGGATAGTCGGGATTTCCAGAGTGGGCCACGCAGGAGCGGCGCTCCCGTAAGGGCCTCGCCTTCCAGGGATCGTCAGGGGCAACGATAGTGTGGGGGGGGGGCATCGACCCCCAAACGCTCACAGGTCGCCGCCGACAGGGGCCCGATAGGCCCACCCCGCCCACAAGACCGTGCGGATGCGCTGTCGGCGGCCTGTCGCCGAGCTGTATCGGCGATGCGTCGCCCATTCCAGGTCGATGTTCCTCCCCCCCCCCCCCCCCTTGGGCTGGTCCCCCCTGATAACTCGCCCCTAACGTGGCCCCTGAGATCAGGAGGGTGGCATCTCTTCCTGAGCTGAGGAAGGGGAAGAGGAGGAAGGGGAGGAGGAGGAGGAGGAGGAGGAGGAGGAGGAGGAGGAGGAGGAGGAGGAGGAGGTTGGTCCCCCCTATAACCCCGGACGTGGCCCCTGAGGTCGGGGGGGGCATCTCTTCCTCGGCGGAAGGCCAGCGGAAGCAACACGACGAGGGGGCCCACCCCCGGCGGAAGTGAACAGAGCTGTCGGCTCCAAGAGATGACAGCATCGTGGATTCAGGACTTCCGTTGGGGGGGGAGCACCCCAGACACGCAACGTCTTGACAAGATCGAGGTGGGCCGTCTTGCGCCGTTTTCGGTCTCGGGGAGGGCGGGGCCTCGCCGGGCCCTGGGGCCGTCAAATAGGGTCGGGACTTCGGGCACCGCGCATCACAGAAGTTTTGAAACTTCGGATGGGGCCGGGGCCCCGTGTCTCTGAATGAGATGTGATCGCAGCGGCTTGCGAGAGCTTGGACCTGGCCCTCCCTGGGCCCCGCCCCCCTGTCAGCCAGGCTTCAGAGGCCACGTTTGGCTGGGGTTATTCTTGCGTGTGGCCGCAGAGGCGCTCGCGGCGCACCGCGAGGGGCTCGAGGAGTCGCTGGCGGCCGGGCAGGGCAGGGAGGAGTGATGGGCCGATTCTCCACCACAGCTACCAAAGGCTAGGAGAGGGTGAAGGAGGAGGAGGAGGAGGAGGAGGAGGAGGAGGAGGAGGGGGAGGAGGAGGAGGAGGAGGAGGAGGGGGAGTAGGATAAGGCTGCGCCAAAGTGCTTGCGCAGCAAAGGAGGCAGTTGCTCAGGAGAGAATTGCCTTGGCCGAGGGGACTTCTGGTTTCCTCCCCCTGGCCGCTAAGCCTCGCGTCTCATGACGAGGCCGAGTGGCACAGGCTGGCATAATCCTCTTCGGTTCGCGGGGTTTGGGGGTTAGCGTCTGGCGATCCTGTCGCGGTGGTTGGCCTTTCGCCCCTCTGGGGATTTTGTGCCGGTTATCGCGAGCTGGTGGCCCTGTCGCTTCCCCCTTGCCGCGCTATCAGCAGTCCCTTCGATCATGGATTGTCAGGCGATCGCAAACATGGATGAAGGGGGGCGTGGATTAGCGACGGGTGCCGTTTCCATGGGAAATCGCGGATATCCGCAGCCGAACGAGGTGGCGCCGGCCGCATTTTGGAGAGGGCATCTCCCCCGATCCATGTTTGCGCGCCCCTGGGATTGGTGGGAGTGAAGATAGAACACCCACTGAAAAAAAGCAGGAACCACATGAGGACCTCCCCATCCTCCCTTCTCTCCCGTCCTGCACATGGTAGTTGTGGTGGAAAGTCTGCCCGTCAAGGAGCGTCTCGAAGAGGACCTCCTCAGACTCAGGATTGCGGCGCGCACCAGGGGTCGGTGGCCTAGAGATTGGCACCAACACCAATGTCGGCGTTGTGCCTCCAACGAGGGACGGTGATCCCGATCTCGGTGGTAATGGTAATATTCGGGCTTCCTGGGTGACCAGAAGATTACCACCAACACCAAAATCTACGACCATACTGCCCTGGTGGAGGCACCCCCTTGTTTTGGTGTTGGTTTTCATTTCCAAGCCTCCACAATGGGGTTGTGCGAGAGGGGGCGCCCTTCTAACTGAGAGGGGGCGGGGCTGCGAAGGCTGGTTCTTAGGCGCATCCGGGCGTTTCTAAGATGTGCGAGGAACGATGTTTCGCCCACACTCCCCACTGTGCGCGCCGCCAATGCAGGAGCCAGGACGCCGCGCTGCTGCGGGAGGCGGCCGTGCTGCGGGACCAGACCACCGAGGCGGAGGTGCAGCTGCAGCTGAGCCGCTGCCAGGGCGACCAGCTGCAGAAGCAGCAGCACGCCGCGGACGGCCAGTGCGCGGACGGTGGCGCGCCCGCGGCGCAGCGCCTGCAGCGGCTGGTGCAGGCGCACGGCAGGCAGTTCAAGCTGGCCGCCGCCGAGCTGAAGGGGACGCTGACCGCGGAGGCCCGCTCCGCCGCGGCGGCGCTGCAGGCGGACGCGGCGCGGTGGCGTCCCCCGAGGCGGGCCGCCGCGGCGCGCGACGGCGCGGCTACCGCGAGGCTGGAGGCGGAGCTGGACGCGCTGCAATGCAGGAGCGCCCGGCTGCGCGAGGAGGCCCGCGAGGCTGCGCGCGGCTCCGCCCTGCGCGCCAGGGAGGCTGAGGCCGCGGGGCGGGAGTCGCGCCTGGCGCGGGGCGCGGCGGAGGCGGTTGCGACGGCGCTGGCGGGGGTGCTGCCGGTCGGCGAGAGCGCCGCTTGGCGCTCCCTGCTGGCCTCCTGCGCTGGGCCTCCTGGAGCCGCGGCCGGGCCCTGCGCGGACACCAGCGCCCTGACCTCGGACCTCCTGCGGGGGCTCGAGGCGCTGAAGCTGGAGGCGGCCGATGCCGAGTGGCACCGCGGCAGCGCGGAGTGGCGGCCGCGGCTGGAGGAGAGCGGCGACGCCCGGGCCAGGGCGCGCGACCTCCGCGTGTCCGAGGAGGGCCTGGAGGCCCAGGCCAGCCAGTTGGCGGCGGAGCTGCTGCGCGCCCAGGGCGAAGCCCGCGTGCGGGAGGACGCCGCCGCGGAGGCCTTCCGCGCGCAGCAGGAGCGACTCGCCACCTCCGAGGCGGCGTGCCGGCGGGCGGCGGCCATGGCCGAGGCCGCGCTGGCCGAAGCAGAGGCCTCGGAGGCGGGCGTGGAGGCGGCGGCGGAGGAGGCCGAGGCGGCGGGCGAGGCGGAGAGGGCGGAGCAGGAGGCCTGCGAAAGGCTGCGGCGGGAGGCGCAGGAGCTGTCGGCGGCCCTGGAGGAACTCAGGCCCCCGGCGTCCCAGGAGGGAGGAGGAGGAGGAGGAGGAGGAGGAGGAGGAGGAGGAGGAGGGGCAAGTTGATTCCCCGCCGAGAGAGAAACAGGGGGGTCTCTTACTAAAGACCTCCTGATGTTAAGTACGGTGGGGGCATTGATTAAGGAATGTGCCCAGGAGGCTTCAGACCCTGCAGGATTCCTTAGCTGATGAGGGCGGTGGCGATACCCCTGGCCGATACACAATTGGAGTTCCACTGGCTTCCAGACCCCGGATTCCTTATCCAAGGCTTCCTTATTCAATGCCTCCGCCGTAGATCTGCCCATAGATTATTGAGAGGGACGTGAAGAGCTTGAGTGCTGGCACCCTGGATGGGGGGGGCCGTCATCCCATTCCCATGATGCTCGGCAAGTCCGGGTGGTCTTGCTGTGCGCTTTGGAGTAGCAAAACAGCCAAATGCGAGTGCACGTGCCCACGAAGTCGGGCATACGCACGCAGGCACAACATCAACACCACCACGGGCCCATCGGCCGGCAGGCCTTGCACTGAATATGACAGATGTGGGAATTTGGGAGGGTCCCAATCTCATTGCTCCGCATTGCTACACAATTTCATCACGTGCGTGCTGACCTGCGGCAGCGTCAATCGGAGCTCCCGCATCCGAGCAATTCGGCCTAGGACGTAGGAGCGTAGTTCCCGGCGAGAGGTCGGCCACGGGGGGACTGTGCCAACCTCCTTCGGGGCGTAATCGATGCTCAGGTCGGCCTCCCTTCAACCTCCCCTCCACCCTCTCTCCTCCTTGGCCCCCAGACCTCCGCAGGGGTGCGGCTCGACCAGAATAGTTCCGAAAGGGAGTCCATAGCGATTGCGACGACAAGTCCCTGGGAGGCCAGAAAGTGCGAAGATCGCCCAACCACCTCGATCCTTGAACTTGCACCATCCCCACGATATCCGTATTACTTGTGCATCCTGTTGAAGCCCCTCAGGGCCCACTTCAATCTGATCGATTCGATTTGATGCCGATGTTGGTCGGCTGGATCCGATTCGATTCCGGCAGCCTGGCAATTACGGTGCCGCCCGATGCTCTCATGTCTTTGTGCATATTGGTGCGGCCGATCTGATGTGATTCCGACTCCTTGCCGATGTCGCCCGATCCGTGTCACGTTCCGATCCGTTTCGATCGGACTATATCCGACTTCCCGATTCGATTCTGACTGACCCAGACATCCTGCGGCTCGATTTGTTCGAGGTGTGGGCATCCAGACCTCCCGACCCTATCCCCAGAGGCCTGCTCTTCCTACCGGGCCTTTTTATGATGGTCCTGGGGCCCGGCGAGGGCCCCCAGGCGCCGACAACGGCGAGCCACGTCCATCGCGATGTTTGTTCAAGACGTTTCGAGTAAGGGATCGACTACAGACCTAACTTACCCCAACATTGATTTTCCGTCGAGTCTACGAACGATGCGTATTTTCCGGAGATTCGACGAACAGGTCAAGTTTGGGATACATCGATTATGTAGTCGATCCCCTACGGTGGGGGCGTTCGTTAAGGAATGCGCCCAGGGCGCTTCAGACACTGGAGGGTTCCTAATCTGATGAGGGCGGCGGTGATATCCATGGCCAATCCACGACTGGAGTTCCACTGGCTTCCAGACTCTGGATTCCTTGTGGAAGGTTTCCTTGTCCAATGCCCCCACCGTGCTCGAACGTTGGAGCCCTGGGACCCGCTGCTGCCCGCTCCCGCCGAGGCTGCGGCTGCCCCAGGAGCTGCGGCGGAGGGGCGACCAGTGGCGGGCTGAGCTGCCCCGATACGCCCGTCTTGAGACGCAGCGCGTGCCGTGCTGAGAACGTACGTATCGACACGCTGCGCGTTGGCTCGGCACGTGTGGGCCCTCGTTGTGGCAAACGTATCGCGTCAGACCTACGTTTTCAGTCCACGTGTTGAGCTCGGTGTTAGCACGCTGCGTGCTGCGTGCATCAGTGCGCTTCCTTACGCGCGTTGCGCACCGGGGCAGCTAAGGTGGCGGGAGCACTTGGCACGCCTGGAGGCCCAGCGCGCCGCGGCGCAGCAGGCCGCGGCGCGTGCCGCGCGCGGCGCCGCGGCCGACTCCGGCAACCCTGGTACCATCGTGCGACGGCGACCGACGTCGACAGACGACGACAGACGACGACGACGACGACGACGACAGACGACGACGACGACGACGACGACGACGACGACGACGTCCTGATCCGAATGCTGCCTTGCGGGGACCCCTTGGACGCGCGCCACCCCTCCAGCAACCCTCCGCCACATAACGCGAGGGGTGGTCTTCCCAGATCTCCGGCGACACGATTTCTCTCGCTTCGCAGGGTGCACGTCCGGGCCTCGCACATTCCAGTCAACTGTGGGAGCTCCTGGGATCCTCTTGGGGGGCCTCTTTGAGGCCTCTTGGGGGCCTCTTGGACTCTTGGGGCCTCGGGGGGGCGTTGTTCCCAGATCTCCGACAACATGGTTCACTGGCTTGCGCAGCACCGCCGACCCAGCGGGGATTTCCAGGGCTGAGGCGGAGCAACTCGCGGCAGAGCTGGGCGTCGCACTGCCTCCCGCCTGAGCGCGGCCGCGATTAGCTCGAGACCTGCGGGGTTGTCTCAACGGCCTGCTCCCCCGCCCCGGCGGTTCGTGGGGTTGTCCCCACTCCACGGCCTTGCCCACGGTGTTGTCCCAGCGGTGCGATCTGTCCATCGGAGAACGCGCCCGTGCCGGCCGCGGCGGCAACGGCGCGCAGGAAAATCGATTTGCGTGCCCTTGCTAAACGGGCGGGGGAGGTGAATCGGGGAGAAGAGGCAGGAGGACGAGGAGGAGGCAGAGCAAGGGGCGGGAGGAGGGCTTCCGCCAGTGCGAGAAGGAGACGGGCGATGAGAAGACAGGAAGAGAGCCTCTACGTTCAGAAGGACGGCGATGCGGCTTACCATTAGATTAGTTTAGGAAGTTCTGACGCGGGGTCGTACTGTCGGAGTACTTGTTTTGTTGTTGCTTCCCTAAAGTATCATTCCATAAGGTAGAGGCAGTTGGGTTATGATAGACCTTTCTATGCTATCTCTCTCTCACATATATATATATGTATATATCCGTAAGGGCTTCGCCCCCTGCCGCCGGCCCCCTCTCTCGGAGAATGGGCCATGGAAGAGCTAAGTCATGAGGTCTTGGCGCTGTCGTGAAGCAGTATCGAAACTTCATGCGAAGCCGATTCGCAATCAGCAAAACCAACTGATCACAAGAGGGGTTACCGCACCTGGCGATGGGTAAGACGTGTATGGTTTACGGGCTTGGTTGCCACACCTTGCGATTAAAGGGCCGCGGGAGTTCTCGCAATTTGGGTTACCACGCCTTGCGATGGATGTGCGTGAAGGGTGGCACCGAATTTCAGAAATGCAGCAAATCCCCTATGTTTTTGGACCCTGACCCCGCGGATCTGCGTAAGGGGTGCCACCGAATTTCAGAAATGTAGCAAATCCCATGTGTTTTTGGGCCCTGACCCCGCGGATCTGCGTGAGGGGTGGCACCGAACTTCAGAAATGTGGCAAATCCCTTGTGTTTTTGGACCCATGACCCCGCGGATCTGCGTGAGGGGTGGCACCGAACTAGAGAAATGTGGCAAATCCCCTGTGTTTTTGGACCCTGACCCCGCGGATCTGCGTGAGGGGTGGCACCGAATTTCAGAAACGTGGCAAATCCTTTGTGTTTTTTGACCCTGACCCCGCGGATCTGCGTGAGGGGTGGCACCGAATTTTAGAAATGTGGCAAATCCCCTGTGTTTTTTGACCCTGACCCCGCGGATCTGCGTGAGGGGTGGTACCGAATTTCAGATATGTGGAACATCCCATGTGTTTTTGGACCCTGACTCCGCGGATCTGCGTGAGGGGTGGCACCGAATTTCAGAAATGTGGCAAATCCTATGTGTTTTTGGACCCTGACCCCGCGGATCTGCGTGAGGGGTGGTACCGAGTTTCAGAAATGTGGCAAATCCCCTGTGTTTTTGGACCCTGACCCCGCGGATCTGCGTGAGGGGTGGCACCGAATTTCAAATCTGTGGCAAATCCTATGTGTTTTTGGACCCTGACCCCGCGGATCTGCGTGAGGGGTGTCGATTTCGAGCCCCCCCAGCAGTTCAGACAACGCGCCCAGGGGACGCTAAAAATCCCGTTTGGGCCTCCCCCCCCCTCGCGCGGTCAATCAACTAGTTACAGTAACCAGCAAGAAACAAACTTGTAACACTGGAAACTACAAGCTACAACTGGTACAGGAAACTGCGAATCACGGGCCTGCAGCCTGGTGGCCCCACAAGGGGGCCGGCGGATATATATATATATATATATACACATATACATATATATATACACACATATATATATGTATATATATACATATGAGTGTTCTACACCTACTGGTTTGCGGCTTCGCTTCTTATGCTTATCTTGTTGGGTCTCTCTCTCTCTCTCTTCCCCTCTATCTCTCTCTATATATATAGATATATGTCTCTCTCTCTCTCTCTCTCTCCCTCCCCCTCTCTATCTTTCTAGACCCTCTGTCCGCGGCGTGCCCGGGGACAGTTGTTGCGATCTAGACAACGCTCTGTGGCCATCGTTGTCGTTAGTGGGCGTCATGAACGACGTCGAGGGTCTTGGCCGTCGCGGGCGGCGACCCCCCGCCGACCCCCCGCCCGCAGGCCGCCGCCGCGTCCCTCCGCGAGCAGAATCGCCGCCTGGCCCTCGAGCTCCGTGACGCCTCCTCGGGGGGGGCCGCCGCCGCGGAAGCGCGCGCCACGCAGGCCGGCAGGGGGGCGCGCGGCGTGCCGCGGACCGCCCCTGCTTCCTGTCCCTCCACACTGTTTCCTCCCGTGGAACTCCTCCCTGCCGCACCACGAGGCCAGTCGGGAGGGCGGGCCGGGCGTTTCGCTTGAGATTGTCTTCCCGTGGATGATCCTGGAGGCTTGTAGAAACAATTTGCAGCCGCTCCGTAGATGGAGGGCGGGCCGCTTCCAAAATGTAGCTCTCGCCATAGCTCCGCGCACACTCGTATCAAACAGTTGCAGGAGCTTGCCGGATTGAGGGCGGGCCGTTTTCAAAATGCGGTTCTCGCGCTAGCGCCGCGCACATTCGTAATCAAGGAAGCAAGAGCTTCACGGATTGAGGGCGGTTCCTTTTCAAAGTGTGGTTTTCGCCTTAGCGCCGCGCGCACTCGTTATCAAAAAATGCCAGGGTTTCACGGATTTCCCTGGTTAACGAATCAGAGAAGGCGTTTTGAAACAATTCTTGATTGTCCAGGTTCGCGATGTTGAAGTCCCAGGAATGGTGTTTTGGCAAGATTCAGGATCGGCAAGACGCAGCAGTCAGGTTGATTGGTGGCGTTGAAGTTCCGAGAACGGTGTTTTGGCACGCTCCAGGAATATTCGAACGGTTGTTTTCCAACGGGGCAGCTCCTTCAGTGGAATTGAACCCTTGTATGGGCATAAGAGGAGGGAGCTACAAGGGAGGGTTTATGCCAACATCGCTAATGAGTCTTAGGTTTGCGCTGGTCTCCCTCCTCCTCTTTTCCCTCCTCCTACTCCTTCTCCTTCTCCTCCTCCTTCTCCATGATCCTGCTCATTGCCCTCCTTCCCTCGAAAATCACTCCCCCAATCTGCACCTCATCTACTGGCGTTTGGCTCCCGGCCGTCGGCTGGTGTGGCCCCGTCGGCGCCGTCAGTGCAGCCGAGGCGGCCTCCCTGTGCTGCAGTTGGCCCCGCCTCTGCCCCAGCGTAGTTTTGCGCCCCTTCCTTCTTTCCCTCGTGCCCAGGTCGGCTCCAGTGCATCCCCCGGCTGTCTCTACCGCTGCTTGCACGCGAGCGGCCGCTGGCCAGGAGTGTCCCAGCGCAGCATGCCCGCAGCTCGGAGCCGAGACGCCGCCAGTCACAAGGGGTGCTGCCGAGACGGGCGCACAGGAGCGGCGCGCAGGGGGCGCGGCAGGAGAGGGCGCCGCCGTCGCGCCGGGGGCGGCGCAGGGGAGTGAGGGGGCGGGGGGGGGGGGCTGCTCGCCGCGAGGGAAGCGGGTCCTGCAGGGAGGTTTTTTGGCCGTTTCCGGGTTCTCGGGGCTCTCCAAGGGCCCCAGGTCTGCCAGAAAATTACAGTCAACCCGCATAATAAGGATGGGCAACCGTCCCAAGGGTACCCTTGCATCCTTGCCTCCTCGGTCCATTCTTGTCCGTTTTCGTTGGCCGCGCCCCGCTCGCAAAGTGTCAACATGGCCTTCCAAGGCCCTTGCACCCTTATCGCGCATCCTCATGGTACGGGTTGATTGTACTCAGGATGAGAAACTCGTCCTGGGGCAAGGATGGCCCCAGGCCTGCCAGTGTGCGGGTCCGGGTTTGCCGGGTGCCCCCCTCTCGCGGTGGCGCTGGCGGCGGGCCCGGCCCCCGCCGTGCACGGTGCACGGCTCGCCCCCTCCGCGCCATGCTCGGAGCTGGCGACAGGCGATGATTGGATCCCCAGATTCCAATCTACCTTCATCGCGTTCCTACTTCAAGGGTCGAGTGGTTTCCTTCCTCCTCTTCAGCGAGCGGGCGGGGATACAACCTACTTCCAAGGCCTTCCTACTTCATGTTTGCCCACTTCGTCCCACCGAGTGGTATTCCCGATCGCCCACTAATCGCCGATCGGGGCGCGGGTGTCCTCCCCTGCCCAGGATTGTGCGCCTTCGTTGTCGGGGTTTGCCGCCGATCAATATGAGATGCACATTGACGATTCCAGGCCGAAGTTGCCCCCGCGAATGTTTTTCAATTCGAACGTGTGTGAGGGTGGGGTCACATTACTGTGGGCCCCGCCCGCTTATCACACCGGCGCGTGTGCATCTCTGCACTGGGGGTGGTCGCGAGCCGTGGAGATTGCCAGTTTGCGTGGTATTGTGCTGTCCGCGAGTCTTGAACACATCTTAATCACATGTTCATTGTGCGTGCGCAGTGCGAAATGAAGAATATAGGTGCGCCGTCCAGCATGTATCTTGTCAACAGGCGGGTCGGTGGAGCGTGGAATGCCGAAGCCAGGACTGGATTCCCGTGCTAGGTACATCGGAGAGCGGGGGATGGTCTGAGAAAGCCCCAACACCACTAGGGTTGTGGGCACATGGAGCATGAAAGCCTTGAGCTTGGAATGGGGGATCGCGTATTCGACGATCCTGGGCCCAGGACTGTCTCCGCCAGAACCGATGGCGGTGTAGAGCTGGCACCTTGCTGGTGTAGGTTTGCCCGATTCGGCCGTTGTGACTTCCGTGCGCGCTTGACTGCCCAAAGAGCAGCACCGTTGCAGCGTCCGCCCACTAGCCAATGCGCGATTTCCGTCGCAGCGGCGAGCAGCTCATTATGTACTATCTCGGCCCATGCCGCCCTCAGGGCTCCGGTGCTGTGTGCGGGGTGAGCCACACTCCCACTCGTGATAGCCATCACGAACACGATGATACGTTATCGCCCTCTGCTCTCATGCCGTCGTACAAGGATTGCATCAGCATGCATCTTCGAAGGTCCGCGCCGCTCGCCTGGGTCGGCGCCGCACCCTTCTTTCCCATGGCGCGCGGAGCGCGCCGGGGTCGGCGCCGGAGTCGTCGCCAGGGGTCGGGTCCAGCATGGGTCGAAGAAACCCGCGCGGACCTCCCAGTGTTCGTGTGTTAGTGTTGCTATTCCCCAGTCAGTGCTTGCTCTGAAGGGCTCCTAGCGGATACTGAAAGATTTGGCGAACTTCCCGGGCCGATTTCGGTAGCCAGCTGGGTTCCCGGGTTCCTGGGTTCCGGGTTCCCCAGTTCCCGGTTGTTGGTTCTGGGCTGATTTCGGGATCCCACGATCGACCTCACCATCGATCTCATCACTCAATCGATCTCACCGTCCACTGATAGTGGGGTCTTCCTCTGGTGAATATGTTCTCTCAGTGTGGTTGTCTCTTTGTTGCGTGGGCCTGGGGCCCGTTCGTCACCCTGAGAGTGGTCTCCGGATAGCCCCCGGGGCTCGCCTCCAGGGGTGCAGCATGGCGAAGAGCCGACCGCCTCGTGTCGTTCTTTTCTCGAGCCGCGGGGTGCCTGAGCACGCGAGACGACGGAGCTCGCTCTGAGCCTGCAGTGTCTCCATGTCCACAGACTGGGGAACAGTATCACCCAGAGGGCGATGGACATGGAGACACCTTCCCCTCCTCCTCCTCCTCCTCCTCCTCCTCCTCCTCCTCCTCCTCCTCCTGGTCTGCCAAGAGACTTCACCAGCTCGCTTGCTTACTCGACCTCGTGGCCAGCTTCCGCCGCCCTCTGGTCGGCCTTGCAGCTGGGAGAGCCCAGGTTTGACGTCAGCCCGCGTCTAAACAGATGGATGCGGACAACACACTTGGGCCCCCCCTTCCCTCCCCGCCTCGCCCTCTCGAGTGGGCCCCGCGATGGCGGCGGCGGGCCCCCCCCTCCCCCCCTCCCCCCTCCCCCCCCCCGCCGCGAGGTCGCGCGGCTGCTCGGTCGGATCGCCGAGGCCGAGCGGCAGACGCAGGAGCTACTACCGTCGACACGGCCGCCGTCGTCGTCGTCGTCGTCGTCGTCGTCGTCGTCGTCGTCGTCGTCGTCGTCGTCGGCGTCGGCGTCGGCGTCGGCGTCGGCGTCGGCGTCGGCGATCGGCGATCGGCGATCGGCGCGCCGATCAGGGTCGCCAGTTGTGGAGAATTTTGTGGGCGCTGCTCTGGGAGTGTCGTCGCCACGGATGGGCGCGGCCTCACAGACCGTGGGTCCAGGGGTCCATGTTTCAGCGGATCTCCGTCCAGCGTCGTCGTCGTTTCGCCGGCGTCCTGGCACCCGCGGGGGCGCGAAGGGTAGTCGCGCTGCGCGGTCCTGACCTGCGGCGGATGTTCGTTCAGGGGGGCGGCGCAGAGCCCCTTCCGAACGCGCAGCATCGCACCAGATGGCGTCCTCACTCGGCGGAAGCTACATGGGGAGGGGGCGTGGCCTTCTGAGAAGCCCCTTGTCTCTTAGAAGGCAATGTGGGACATTGCTCATCAGTATGGCTCAATAGCCCTCAGTAGTTCCAGGCCCTTGGGCTACAGGTGTACCAAAGTAACCAAAACACGCCAGGGAAATGGCCAGCCGAGGGGCTGAGCGACCGAGGGGCGGCCGACGAGCCTGGGGCGACCAATGCAACCGATGGACAAGCGAAAACAAGCAACAACAACCAAAACCAGCCTGGGAAAGGGCCAGCCGAGGGGCAGTGCGACCGAGGGGCGGCCGACGAGCCTTGGGCGACCTGTGCAACCGATGGACAAGCGAAAACCAAAACTAGACGGAACGGGCCAGCCGAGGGGCCGAGCGACCGAGGGGCGGCCGACGAGCTTGGGGCGACCAGTGCAACAAATGGACAAGCGAAAACCAACCAAAACGACGAAATCCAGCCAGGGAACGGGCCAGCCGAAGGGGCCGAGCGACCGAGGGGCGGCCGACGAGCCTGGGGCGACCAATGCAACCGATGGACAAGCGAAAACAAGCCCAAAACAACCAACACCAGCCAGGGAACGGGCCAGCCGAGGGGCCGAGCGACCGACGGGCGGCCGACGAGCCTGGTGCGACCAGTGCAACCGATGGACAAGCGGAAACAAGCCCAAACAACCAAACACACGCCAGGGAACGGGCCGACCGAAAGGCCGAGCGACCGAGGGGCGGCCGACGAGCGCGGGCCAGCCGAGGGGCCGAGCGACCGAGGGGCGGCCGACGAGCCTGGGGCGACCAATGCAACCGATGGACAAGCGGAAACAAGCCAAAACAACCAAACCACGCCAGGGAAAGGGCCAGCCGAGGGGCCGAGCGACCGAGGGGCGGCCGACGAGCCTGGGGCGACCAGTGCAACAAATGGACAAGCGAACTCAAACTAAAACATCCAGAACCAGCCAGCGAACGGGCCAGCCGAGGGGCCGAGCGGCCGAGGGGCGACGACGAGCCTGGGGCGACCTGTGCAACCGATGGACAAGCGAAAACAAGCCAAAACAACCAAAACCAGCCAGGGAACGGGCCAGCCGAGGGGCCGAGCGACCGAGGGGCGGCGGGCGAGCCTGGGGCGACCTGTGCAACCGATGGAAAAAGCGAAAACAAGCCCAAAACAACCCAAACTAGCCAGGGAACGGGCCAGCCGAGGGGCCGAGCGACCGAGGGGCGGCGGGGGAGCCCGAGGCGACCAGTGCAGCCTCGGGAAAAGCGAAAATAAGCAAAAAACGCACCAGCCAGGGAATGGGGCCAGCCGAGGGGCCGACAGGCGACCGAGGGGCGGCGCAGAGCCCCTTCCGAACGCGCAGCATCGCACCGGATGGCGTCCTCACTCGGCGGAAGCTACATGGGGAGGGGGCGCGGCCTTCTGAGAAGCCCCTTGTCTCTTAGAAGGCAATGTGGGACATTAATCATCAGTATGGCTCAATAGCCCTCAGTAGTTCCGGGCCCTTGGGCTGCAGGTGTACCAAAGTAACCAAAACACGCCAGGGAAATGGCCAGCCGAGGGGCTGAGCGACCGAGGGGCGGCCGACGAGCCTGGGGCGACCAATGCAACCGATGGACAAGCGAAAACAAGCAACAACAACCAAAACCAGCCTGGGAAAGGGCCAGCCGAGGGGCAGTGCGACCGAGGTGCGGCCGACGAGCCTTGGGCGACCTGTGCAACCGATGGACAAGCGAAAACCAAAACTAGACGGAACGGGCCAGCCGAGGGGCCGAGCGACCGAGGGGCGGCGGACGAGCCTGGGGCGACCAGTGCAACAAATGGACAAGCGAAAACAAACCAAAACGACGAAATCCAGCCAGGGAACGGGCCAGCCGAAGGGGCCGAGCGACCGAGGGGCGGCCGACGAGCCTGGGGCGACCTGTGCAACCGATGGACAAGCGAAAACAAGCCAAAACAACCAAAACCAGCCAGGGAACGGGCCAGCCGAGGGGCCGAGCGACCGAGGGGCGGCCGACGAGCCTGGTGCGACCAGTGCAACCGATGGACAAGCGGAAACAAGCCCAAACAACCAAACACACGCCAGGGAACGGGCCGGCCGAAAGGCCGAGCGACCGAGGGGCGGCCGACGAGCGCGGGCCAGCCGAGGGGCCGAGCGACCGAGGGGCGGCCGACGAGCCTGGGGCGACCAATGCAACCGATGGACAAGCGGAAACAAGCCAAAACAACCAAACCACGCCAGGGAAAGGGCCAGCCGAGGGGCCGAGCGACCGAGGGGCGGCCGACGAGCTTGGGGCGACCAGTGCAACAAATGGACAAGCGAACTCAAACTAAAACATCCAGAACCAGCCAGCGAACGGGCCAGCCGAGGGGCCGAGCGGCCGAGAGGCGGCCGACGAGCCTGGGGCGACCTGTGCAACCGATGGACAAGCGAAAACAAGCCAAAACAACCAAAACCAGCCAGGGAACGGGCCAGCCGAGGGGCCGAGCGACCGAGGGGCGGCGGGCGAGCCTGGGGCGACCTGTGCAACCGATGGAAAAAGTGAAAACAAGCCCAAAACAACCCAAACTAGCCAGGGAACGGGCCAGCCGAGGGGCCGAGCGACCGAGGGGCGGCGGGGGAGCCCGAGGCGACCAGTGCAGCCTCGGGACAAGCGAAAATAAGCAAAAAACGCACCAGCCAGGGAATGGGGCCAGCCGAGGGGCCGACAGGCGACCGAGGGGCGGCGCAGAGCCCCTTCCGAACGCGCAGCATCGCACCGGATGGCGTCCTCACTTGGCGGAAGCTACATGGGGAGGGGGCGCGGCCTTCTGAGAAGCCCCTTGTCTCTTAGAAGGCAATGTGGGACATTGCTCACCGGTATGGCTCAATAGCCCTCAGTAGTTCCAGGCCCTTGGGCTGCAGGTGTACCAAAGTAACCAAAACACGCCAGGGAAATGGCCAGCCGAGGGGCTGAGCGACCGAGGGGCGGCCGACGAGCCTGGGGCGACCAATGCAACCGATGGACAAGCGAAAACAAGCAACAACAACCAAAACCAGCCAGGGAACGGGCCAGCCGAGGGGCTGAGCGACCGAGGGGCGGCGGGCGAGCCCGAGGCGACCAGTGCAGCCTCGGGACAAGCGAAAATAAGCAAAAAACGCACCAGCCAGGGAATGGGGCCAGCCGAGGGGCCGAGCGACCCAGGGCCGTTGCGCGCCGCTGAGACAGGGCCCGGAAATTTGTAATCTAGTTCTTGTATTTTTCGTTGTTGTGTTTTTTTGGGCGGCCCCGAGCACAATCTACTTCTTCCGCCTTCCTACTTCATGTTTCTACCTACTTCTTCCGACCAACGTACACCGCGCATCCTTATGATACGGGCCGACTGAATTGCAACATCGTTGATGTGTTGTTGGGTTTGCCTTCGCCCCCCCGTATCTTACTGGCCCCCAGGTTCGAAGAAGAACATCTGTATTGATAAAAAATATGTTTGGCGCTCCGCGCGGATTTCGTGGATCCGCGCTGGGTTCCCCCGGTGGTGCCTCCGGCGCCGCCCCGGGCGCGTTCCGCGCGCCCGGGAGGGGGTCCACCGAACCCCTTTTTTTCTCCTTCTACCATCCGTACCCTCCTGGCCCCCTCCTCCACCTCTCCCTCCTCCTCCTCTTCCTCCTCTTTGTCCTCCTCCTCCTCCTCCTCATCCTCCGCCTCCGCCTCCGCCTCCGCCTCCGCCTCCTCCTCCTCCTCCTCCTCCTCCTCCTCCTCCTCTCGCTCCTCCTCCTCCTCCTCCTCCTCCTCCACCTCCTCCCCCCCCCTCCTCCACCATTCCCCTGCCTGCCTCCTCCTCTCCTCCTCCTCCTCCTCCTCCTCCTCCTCCCTCCTCCTCCTCCATTCTCCGCCTCCTCCTCCTCCTCCTCCTCCTCCTCCTCCTCCTCCTCCTCCTCTCCTCCTCCTCCTCCTCCTCCTCCTCCTTCTCCTCCTCCTCTCCTCCTCCTTCCTCCTCCTCCTCCTCCTCCTCCTCCTCCTCCTCCTCCTCCTCCTCCTCCTCCCTCTCCTCCTCCTCCGCCATTCTCCTGCTCATTGCCCTCTCTTCCTCGAGGAACCGCTCCCCCAGGCTGGCCCCACTGCCCCCCCCACCCCTGGTCCGAGGACGGCCTGCGCCTCCGGCAGCGCCTGGAGGAGCGGCGCGGGGAGCTGGCGCGCGCGGCGCGCGGCTGCGAGGAGCGGGCCCAGCGACTCGCCCCCTCGTCGGCCCTCGACGACGACGACGACGACGACGACGACGCCGACGACGCCGCCGCCGCCTTCGTCGGCCCTCGACGACGACGACGACGACGACGACGACGACGACGACGACGACGACGACGACGACGACGACGACGACGAGGACGACGACGACAACGACGACGACGACGACGACGACGACGACGACGACGACGACGTCGACGAGGACGGCGAAGACGACGAGGACGAGGACGAGGACGAGGACGAGGACGAGGGCGACGGCGACGATTTTGACGGTCAGGGCGACGACGAGGATGACGAGGACGAGGGCGACGACGACGACCACGACGACGACGACGACGACGACCACGACGACGCCGTCGGCACTGTCTCGGAAGTTTGGCCGGACTCTTTGGAAGGCCCTCGCCGCCGCGGCTGGGCGCGGCTCGAAAGGCCGGCCTGGCCCAGGGACTGGCTTATGAACGGATTTTGGTCCGACGTCGGCGTCGTCGCCGCCGCCATCGTCGTCCTTGTCGTCCTCGTCGTCCTCGGCTGGGGACACGATCCAGAGCGCTCTGCCCTCCCTCACCACCTCCCTCTTTGTTCTCAGGCCCTGCCCAGATTCCCAGTTGCAGCCGATGCTTGGCATGTTTCCTTTCAGGTGCTTCGCTCCCGCCCCGCCACCTCCGCCCGCATCACCCAACAGGTCCTTGTCGGTCGAGTCCGCACGTCCTTTCGCAGGTCCCCCAAACTCCAGGGGCTGCTGAGGGGGAGCGAGCCGACCAGGTGCGCCCCTCACCCGCCGCCGCCGCCCTGACTGCTGGACTTCTTGCCAGGGTGGGTGTCGCCGTCCTCGTCGTCTCGTAGTCCTCTTCGTCGTCCTCGCCGTCTTCGTCGTATTTCTCTTTGTCGTCATCGTCGTCTCGTCGTCGTGGACCCCATGGCAGGGACATGCGAAGCAGGTGTCCGGTAGATTATTGGATGGGGTTGTGGTCTTGGTTGATCCCCCTGCCGCGAGATTGTATGGCGGTGACCATGGGATCCAGCAGCGTCATGTTGTCACCGTTAGTAGTGCAGCGTCGGAGTCTCACCCTCGTTTTCCTCGTCCTCATGTTCCCCGCTCCCCTGTCCTCCCAGGGTCCCTTTCGCTCCGATCGATCCAGTTCGATACCGGTTCCAGCCGGCTTGTTCCGATTCGTTTCCGACATCCAGACGACACGATGCGGCTCGATGTGTGCATTGGCGTTGTTGTGCACCCTGGCGCCGCCGATCCCCTTCGATCCCGCCCCCGTGCCGATGCAACCCGATCCGACTCACTTCGTTGTACAAGGTCGACGAGGGCTCTCTGTGGATCCCCGTGGCCAGGTGAAGGGAAGGAAAAGAGCAAGTGGGGGAGAAAGAAGAAGAAGGCGGCAACCGCAATGCGAGTCGACACCTCGGACCCGCAGTTCCGTTCGATCCGGCTCACCGGTTCGATGCTGAGTAGTCTTGCTCCTTGCCCCCGTTCTTCCACCCCGCCCCTCGCCCTGGGACAGCCGCGCGCGAGGGGCAGGAGAAGAGGCCCCTGCGGGGCACCCCGCCCTGCAGCGCCTGGTTTCGGATCGGCGATTCCGTTGCGTTCGTTCCGCTTCGCTTGCGTTCTGAAGGGGGCACGGTCCCGCGTGCACTCCCGCTCGCGAGCGCGAGCCGCGCCAGGATGCCAGCGGCGGGAGAACCCCAGAGGCTCCAGGCCACAGCCCATGCTGCCAGTGCACCATTGCCCGCTGCCCGTCACCCTCGCAACCGCCGATCCCAGCACTGCCTGCGAGCCTTCGCCCCCCCCTTCCCCACATCGCCCCGAGCAGCGCTAAGAGACCGCTGGCCGCCGCCGCCCGCCCGTCCGTCATGCCCTGATCTCGACGTTGTGCAGGACGGTTCTTTTCCCGCCCTCCCCCCCCCATGTTCGAACATTCGGAGTTACCATCGTCGAGCACAAAAGAACCCCTACTCCGAATAACACGATGAAGACGTGGCCTCACTGAGGTCCCCGTCTTCGCATGAGGGATAATAATGCTGAGCGGCTTGGTCTGATACATCTGCAGAACAAAAAAACCCTATCCCTAATGTTCCTGGCCCTCCTAACTGAGGTCCTCTCCCCAAGGGTTAGGGGTCCTTGTTCCAGGTTCGAAGGTTCAAGGCTCCCAGGGTCAAACGCGAACACATCAGTCCAAAGCAGCCCTCCACAGAGGCAAACCGCACGGCTCCTCCTCCTCCCCCCTCCTCCTCGCCCTTCCGTCCACCCTGCAGGAGGGGCTCCGCGCCGCCGAAGAGCACCTCGCCGAGGTGGCGGCCGCGGAGGCCGCCGACGAGCGCCGCGCCGAGGAGGAGGAGCGCGGGCTGACCAGGCCTCCCCGGGGGGCACTCGGAGAGGACGTGCGAGGAGGGCGAGTCGACGTGGCGCAGAGGAGTCCCGGGTGCCACGGGGCCTCCGTCTTCTCGCCGCTCTCGGGGCTCGGGGGCCCTCCCGGGGGCCCCCGGGACGGGCAGCTGCTCCGGACGGGGGCCTGTTCCCAGGGGAGGGCCCCAGGATCCAGGAGCCGTTGGCCTCAGGGCCTGCTGCCTTCGTGCCGTCGAGCAGTGGCGAAGCGCCCTGGCTTGCCTATAGGCCCACCAAAGAGTGTTCTAAGAACCTGTTGTGGTCTGCACGAAATGTGATTCGATCATTTCTGGCTGAGATCTGTTGTCAGAGCAGTTTTTAGTGATTAGAACAGTTTTGGGGTTCAAAGAACACATCGTGGTAGGCCTATAGGAATGCCGGAACGGTCGTTCCCTGCTCAATGCCGAGCGAGGGTTCGCATCTCCGATTCCGTCACGTCCCATTGGCGTCGCGTGCGAGGGCGTGCGTGTTTCCCGCTATCTGCTGCGCCCCCCCCCCGTCCCAAAGGCCCCTTCTCAGGAGTCCCACAGGTTTCCCTTCCCAGTGCGGGAAGTTCCCCTCTCTGATAGGACGAGCCCCCCAAAGCATGGGCCTGCAATTCAGGCGATAGCACCGTGCAGAGGGATGGGGGAGGCGGACGAGGAGGGAGGATGAATTGGCATGCGTGGACTCATATGTTTAAGTCGGGCCTGTCCCTCTACAGGTGGATATTCAAAAAAATAGTCCAGAAATAGTCTCGGGACGATGTGTTGACCATGTTTGATCATCATGGAATATGTTTGACTATGTTTTGATTTGTCGTCCAAGATCCGCCTGTAGGAGGACATGCCCGACCTAAATTTCTGTGCCTATATGTAGAGAGAGAGAGTGAGAGCGCGATAGAAAAACAACAAGAATAGCGATGGCACGCGAGTCGTCTTTCGAAAGGTGCGTGTGCTTGCAGCCATGTGCACACAGCCGTACGCCTTTCCAGCGTTACGCACATGATGATCGGGGTCGCCCGGTCGGCGTGCCATTGATGCTGTCTTGGCGCCTCGACCGTAGGGTGAAGGAAGGGAGGAGAGGCACAGGCGGCCCCGGGGCGGCAGCCTCCTCCCCCTCGGCCCTGCCCCCGCTGCAGGCGGCACGAGGCGGACGTGTCTCAGCTGCGGCAGCGCGTGGGCGAGGAGGCCGGCGGACAGACCTCCCCCCTCGGCGCCCCAAAGGTGGCGCTGCACCTTCGGGGGGCCTCGCCTGTCCCAGACGCTGTGGCCTCATCCTGCAGCCGACGCGGACTCGGCGCAGCTGCGGCGCAGGTTCGGCGCGGACTCGACGCGGATTCGGCCTGGAATCGGCATGGACTCGACGCGTAGTCGACGGAGGGCGGCGCGAGCGCGACGGGACCGACAAGGTCCCTTGAAGATAGGGAGTGGGGGAGGCCTGCTCTCTTCGGCCATCGTGGAGTTCTGCTGGTGGGTCTCGGGGTGCCCTTGGGCTGCCCGGGGTACCTCGAGACCGTATCGGGGGTCTCTTGAGGCCGTATTGGTGGCCATCTTGGGCCGTTTTGCATCTTGGGCCCTCTTGGCAGCATATTGATGGTATCTCTGGGCGCTCTGCGCGGGTGAGGCGGTTTGGGCGGCGCCGCGGTTTCAGAAGGCGAAGGGCTTGTAGGGGGGTTCTGGGGAGGCCCTGCCAGCGTGGACCTCGACCAGTAAGTCAACCAGTAAGTTCTTGCACCCCGGGGGTGTAAGGTATGTGGCGCAAAATGCGTGGTGCAAGCCATGCGTGTTGCAGACAATGTGGCGCAAGCTCGCAAGCTATCTATGGCGCAATATAGGTGGTGAAAGCTATGTGGTTCAAGCTATGCACTGTAAGCTATGTGGTGAAAGCTGTTTTGGGCTAACTCATGAGTTGTCAGTTCCGCTGCTTGGGCAATCACTGCACCCTCCCTCTCACAACTTGCCTTGCAGAACGGCCACGGTTGCGCTTACTGAGTGGCATTTGCCAGCGCGTCTATGTGTCCGAGCGACGTGGTGTAAGCAAAGTGGCGTAGGCTAGGTCATGCAAGCAGGGTGATCCACGTGTTCACCCAGTCCACCCCCTTCTCGCTTGATTTGGCCGGGAACCAGGTGGACGCCCGCGTGTCGCAGGAATTTGCATACCGTCTTTGTGGGTTTAGCAACGTCGATGGCATGTTCAGGAGGGGAAGAAACACACAGACACAAGTAATCGTCGATCCCCGGGAAATTATGGGAAGTGGGGAGGACGACGAAAATACAAAAACATTTGAAAACATCTGTGGAATCCTGGGATTTGTTTCTATCTAGTTACCTGCGTGTCCCAGGGACCCCCTTTCCACAGGTTCCCCTCGCACTCTGGCCCCGCACAGCGGTGCTGCAGGCAATCTGCCGCGCACGCAGCACGAGACGCCCACGAGGCGCCCGCGGCCGCCCGCTCCGGGCAACGAGAACCCAGCAGCCCCGGCGGGCGCCGCGGGGCCCTCACGAGAGGCACCCGCGGGGCCGCCCACCGGGCGGAGCCTCGGCAGACCCGGCCGGCGCCCGACGGGTGCCCGCGAGGCGCCCACGGCCACCCGCCGGGCGACGTCTCCCCAGAGATCCCTGTAGGGCCGAAGAGACGGGGATCAATGCCACCGGGGGTCAGCCGGAGCGCCAGATCTTGCAGGATCCTGCAGTGCCAGGGTCGCATTGACCAGGGCTTGGGTGCAGGATCCTGCAGGATTTTGCCAGATCCTGCAAGGCCCGACTGACCCGGGTCTGCGTTGACCCGGGTCAGCAGATCCCCGAGGTCCAGCGCATTGCAAGAAAAAATCGAGGCGGAGGTTGTTCGCTACCTTCGGTGTCTGGGGGCCCTCGCCGGGCCCCGGGGCCGTCCAGAAACGACTCAGGACGAAACACTCAGAGGCGAGGCTAGGGGCGAATAGTCCAGGGGAGAGCAATACATGTATTCAGGTGCGCCGATGGTCTATGTTTTCGAAAAGGCTCCCGGGCGAGCACGTGTAATGCCCGCCCCTGGGCTATTCGCCCTTATCGTCGCCGAAACACCGGTCCTATGGGGAAGGGGTCGAGACTTCCGGGGACCCCGCACTGAAAGAACCAAGGCATCGGACCTTTGGGTCAGCAGACCCAGCCAGCGGCTAGCGCACAGAGCGACATGAGGCGCCGACGGCCGCCCACCGGGCCAACCTCAGCAGCCTGACGGTCGTTGTTTAGGCGCATGCGTTCTGGAGAACCCCTCAGAGCAGGCGCTGCGAGGGGAAGGAGGAGGAGACATCTGCACACCCACCTATACTGGAACCACTTGTGCTCACGGCGTCGTTCGCACCATCTCTTTTTGTGGTAATTATGCTTTGCACCGGTTTGGCCCGCCCCTCTGCCCAGGAGGCCTCAGAGGTCGGGTGCCCCCTTCTGGGTGGGATGCAGCAGTATTGACAGGGAGAGGCACGGCCGGCGGGCGGACAAGCTGGCCATCCGCAAGCTGGGCTTAACGGTGCATGAGCGGAGTTCAGTGTGGCCGGTCAAGGAGGATGGAACGGCGTGCATGATGAGTCTCCTGGCCCAGCCCTTCCCGCTCGTCCTTCCCATAGGTTTGCTACTCACCCCGCTCCTCCTGTTGAGGTTGCAGCTCCTGTGACATGGCATCAAGCATCACGTTGGCCCTGGTGCTTCCTGTCCTGTGCGTGACTGCAGCTTCCGACCCAGGCAAGTTCGCTGTTGTCCAGGGCTTCGTCGGCTCGACGGCCTCCCGACATGGTGCTCACGAAGACCTCCCAGGAGTTGCCACCCTGGGCTGGCTTCGATTTGTTCCATGCGTGGGCCCCCATAGACCTCTTGACCACTTCCTGGGCACCCGCTTCTCATCCTGAGTCGTCTCTTGACTGTCCTGGGGCCCGAAGCCAGCCTCTGGAGGTCAATCATGGCGACAAACAGCCGCCTCGATGTTGTGGGTCCTGCTGCCGAGGCGGCCAAATCTGAACCAGCTTGGGCTCTGGTGTTCAGGCTGCTCTTTCGATTCAGGCCGTCAGACTGCCTCGTGGCCGAGGCCTGCCGTGGCCAGAACAGCTCCACCGTCGCTTATTCGGCGCCCCCCGTGGCAGCATGATGACTGGATCCATGCGCAGGGAGGGGATCTGCGAGGCGGCGCGTGTGGCCGCGGCGGGGCGTGCTGTGCTGTTTGGACCCGAGCCCGCGTAGCACGATATGGCTGCACCTCCTCCACTCGAAGAAGAAAGAACGCCATAAACATAAACTTTTGGCGCTCTGCGCGGATCTCTTGGATCCCCGGCGGCGCCTCCAGCGCTGCCCTTGGCGCGCTCCGCGCTCCAGGGAGGGGGGTCGAGCGCACATCTAAAAAGTCCGCGCGGAGCGCCAACAGTTCATGCTTACTGCGCTTCTTTCCCTTCTATCCTCCGCATGTGACCCCCGCCGCCTGGTGGCTCACAGCGACTTGCGAGCCCGGGGCGTTCCAGCACACAGGCTGGCCCGACGCACGACAGCCCCGTGCCGGCGCCCATCGTGCGGCCGCCGCCGCTCGCGGGCCATACATGCAGCCGCCCCGGGCCGCCTGGGCCGCGCCTCGGGGCCCGGTGGACGACGCGGCGCCTGCCGACGAGGAGCGGCGGCCTGCAGGGCTCGACGACACGTTTATGCGAGTGAGCCTTCGCCGAGTTGGGGCCTCTGGGTCCCTGGGTGCGGGCCCACGGGGGCCCCCCGATCGCCGAGTGCGGAGCGATGGTGGCGTCTTGCGCGCTCGTGTTCGGTCCCCCCGCGGCCCTCGAGAGGCCGCGCACCAAAGGTCACTCTCCCGCAGGATCACTCTTGCGTGGTGTGCCTGCTGGGCAGATCGCCCGCCTCGAGACCAGAGGAGGGAAGGGTACTGACGTCACTGCTTGCCCTGGAGAGCCCTCGTCGCCACGGCTGGGTTCTCCTCGGAATTCTGGCCAGACCCCCCCCCCACACACACACACACTCACTCCAGGAGAGGCCCGTGGAGTAGCGGTCTCGGTATTTTTGCGGTTGTCCCCCCATGAGATCCGACGTCGCGAGCAAAGAAAACATCGTGAGAAATCTGTGTTGGCCACGAACAATGTTCCAGACGTTCCGGACATGCTCCGGACAAAAAGTTGTTCCGGACAATTTGTTCCGGACATTTGTTCCGGACAACTGTAGGAATTGACGTCCTTGGGGGCCGCGCGAACGCCCTCGGCCTGGAGCCACCATGGGAGCCTGTCGCGGCCCAGAAATGTACGATTCGGGGCCCGCCGGCTCCGCATCATTTGAAATCTACGTCCCTGGGCGGGGGTGGAAGCGGAGGAGGAGGACGAGGAGCGGGTTGAGGAGAACGAGGAGGAGGAGGGGGGAGGAGGATGAAGAGGTCGAGGGGGAACGAGGAGGATCGAAGAGGTAGAGAGGATGGAGGGTGGGAGGGGGCGAGGGAGGGAGGGAGGAGGAGAAGGAGGAGGAGGAGGAGGAGGAGGAGGAGGACGAGGAGGAGTTGCTTTTGCTCAGTTGGGGCCATCGGCCACAGCGGGGGGGAAGGACGAGGGGAGGAGGAGGCCCAATACAGCCCCAAAACGACCCCAAGAGCAGGCCCAAAGGGCAAAACCGAACAGATTTTCCGAGCCCTCGCCTCCAAGACGCTTCAGGAGGTCTCGAACAGCTTCTTCAAAGTCCCAGAGAGGCCCCAAGATGACCCCAAACGGACCCCAAGAGGCCACCAGGAGGTCGCCAGGAGGGCCACAAACTGCGCCCACAGGCCCACAGGCCCAGAAACGCATATTTCGCTTACCTCGGGCGTCGGAGCGCTCGAAATCTAGGGCGTCCCTGGGCGAGGGGGTAGGCAGGAGGCAGGGCCCCCCGGACCCCCCTGAGCAATTGCTTGATGCTTGACATCAGCATGGGCCCCCTGGCACATTGCCCCAACGCATGGTGCGCGACGCGATGATACGGAAGGGGAGGAGGGGGGGTGGGGAGGAGGAGGCGGGGGCGAAGGACGAGGGCGGGGACGAGGGCGAGGAGGACCGAGCCTCGTCTTCCGTTGCCATTTTGGGCCAAGCCCCCCGAGGGTCGGTTGCGTGGGCTGGCTCTGGAGGGCGGCAGAGGTTGCTGCGTGCCCAGGGACGTCCATTGAGGCCCCTCCTGGCGTCGAAACACCCGATATCTACGTTCCTGAGCGGCCTGCGGGCCGCGGGCGCTACGAGGCCGGTGGGCCCTGGGGCTCCCAAGGACCTCGGAAGTGGGGGGGCCCAGGGACGTGGAGTCCACGCGTTTGTTCCGGACAATGTTCCAGACAATGTTCCGGGCAGATTCGTTCCGGACGCGGTTCGTGGCCAACACAGTGAGAAATCGCGTCCGGAGCCCCAGGCTTCATCTCTCTGATGCGTTTATCGAGTCAGGCCGATGCGCGCGGGGCCCGGGGTCCGAAGTTGACGGGAAACGCCCGGCGTGAAGAAGTTGCACGCAGGCATCCACCGTCTTGGAAAGAAGAAAAGCGACGGAGGGTCTTCGTCGTTCGAGACCTCTGTGGGACGGGCTTCGGGCCCCAGGAGCGTCAGGAAACGACTCGGGATGCAAAAAGGGGTCGGGACTTCGGCGGACCCCGCAGCGAGAAGTCCAAGACGTGGGGCTGTCCGGGGCCGCCCAGCCACGGGGCGACGCTCTCTTGCAGATCTGTGTTTGCTGCCCCCCCTCCTCCTTGGGCGAATCGCCGCGCCACAGCCTCGGAGGCGGGGCCCAGGGCCGCGCTCAGCAGACAGGCCCCAGGATTGAATGGGGCATGCTGCTGCTTTCCAGTCAGGAGCACATCGATGCTGCTGCTCCTGCTGCTGCTTTCCAGTCAGGAACACATTGATCGGGTTGGGAGGATGGGGCTGGGAGAAATGAGGATATAATTATCAGTAGGCGGCCGAAGGTATGGTTCAGTGCATCTGGATGCTATTGCTCATACCCTTCTTCCTCCCCAAACCCATTCCTCCAAACGTTGTTATGGTTCTCCTAATCCAGGAGACTTCGCCAGTTTTGTTTGGCCGCGCCCTCTTTGTGCGCGTTGTGTGTTGCCAGCTCGGCCTCGTGGTCACTGTTCGCCGCCCTCGGGCGGCCTTGCTGCTGGGGGCTAAGGCTAGACGTCAGCCCACGTCTGAAGAAAACCATATCAAGATTGGGTTCGAGGGGCACGCTCAGCCACAATAGAGCAGACAGGGGAAGAGAGAAACATAGTCGATCACGACAGAAAGCTGAAGTGCCCATCCGTTACATATTCGGCAGAAGTGCTGGTGGTGCGCGCCACTACGAGGAAGATGGGAAGCTGCGTCAGGAGAGCCGCACCTGGCCCCCCAGGGCTGCGCTACGGGACGAATGAGAGAAGGATGAAGCAGAGACTCCCAAATGGCACGCTCTCCTGCTCAAAGTCTCTCTAAGTGTCTTGACGTCGTGTTGGCTGAGTGCTCCATTGCTTCTACAGGCGGTGCACGAAGCTGTTGGTGAAAGCTCGCTTCGGCAAAACAGTACAGGTTGTCGCGGTGCGTGCGGTGGTGATCGTTTCTTTATTCATTGTTTTGCCGATCGGCGCGGGCCCTCGCACCCCCTCTTCCCCCCCCCCATGGAGTAGATCTTGGCTGTCTTTGGCGCCTGTTTCGAGTAGGTGGAGTCCCTCCCCCACAGGACACAGTGTTCCGAACAGTCGCATCAAGCAGAGGTCTGGAGCCAGACCCTCCCCCCTCCCCCCTCCTTCCGCCCAATGCCGAAACGCCGAATAGGAAACGCTCACGTGAAGAGGACGCAACGCTCCGGTGCGACCCTGGCGAAGGCTTTCCCTCCCAGCCACATCGCTCTCCAGCTGCGCCCTCCGGGGGGGCCTGGCGTCGGGCTCCCAGAAGCGCGGGCAAGGGGCCACCGTCGTGCCTGGGTCGTGTGGGCCAGAGGCGGCCTCACGGACTACTTGGGTGCACGTGCGGGTCACTTGGGAGGCCTCTCTGAGGCCGCTTGGAGATTCATTTTGGGGGGCCTTCTGGCGGCCTCCTGGGGCCTGTTGGGGGGAGCCCCTCGTGGCCGCTTGGGAGCCTCTCTTGGGGCCTCTCTCGGGGACCTGCTGGCGGCCTCGGGGGTCCTCTTGGGGCGGAGGGCTAGAATGCCAGTTCGGGTTCCTCCACTTCGGCCACTCTTGTGGCCGTCTTGGCCCCCTTTTGCGCCGGCTTGGACGCCCCTACGGCCGTGGTGGGGCCCTCTTTGGGCCGTCTTGGGCCCCCCTCGGGGGCCCAGATCTGCGCTACGAAAGTCTTGACCCGATTCGTGCTACCACCCAGATTTCCGCATGTGATCTGGAAGAAATCTCGGGCGGAATCGCCATGCCGACTTGTAGCCCGAAGTGGTTCGGCTTGAGATTTGCAGGACGCCCTGGGCGGAGTCGCCATGTCCTTTTTGAACCGAAGAGGTGAAGGAAGTCTGGGCCCCGCCGCCTGACAGGAAGCGCTATATTTTGGCCGAAGGTCTTGACTGCCGAGTTTAGGACCGTCTTGAGGCGGTATTATACGGGACTCGTTAGCCGTCTTGGAGCGTTTGAAGCCCGACAGGCGACAACGCCAACATCCTTCAATCATTAAAGGAGCATGTTTGCCAGTGCGGGCCCAAAGAGTGACTGCACCGCCGATGTGTAATGTATGCGTTGCAACTTGTGTGGTGTAAGCTATGTGGGCAACGCTTGTGGTACACGATATGCGGTGCAAGCCATGCTGTGTCAGCCATTCAGGGCAAGCCATGCGGTGCAAGCTATGTGGTGTAAGCTATGTGGTGTACGTTATGCGGTGCAAGCGAGGTGGTGTAGATTATGCGGTGCAATATCTGTAGTGTAAGCTACGTGGTGTAGGCTGCGTTGGTTGAACGATGCTGTTGTGCTGTGCAACTGGTGCAGCGTCTGATTGGACAATGTGTGCGGTGCGAGCGCTGCGGTGCGAATGTGGTGCAGCCCACGAGCCGGCCACGGGCGGGCACCAGGCGAAACCGCGGCACACCCACCCAGCACACGAATTGCGAGGGTAATCTTGCCAGTGCTTTCCACGCAGTGTCACCGCGCAGTGCGTCGACACGGCTTGTTGACGCTGCGTTGTTGAAAGTGTGCTGTTGTCAATGGAAGAAGTGTGTAATCACGATTTCGAGAACAGCTCAATCTGTAATAGACCTTTTGGCAACTGCACCTGCAGTACTTTACAAGTGTAAAGGGTTTCATCCATATTTAGCCTCTGTATATACCTGAAACGCTCCTCTCGCGAAAACTTCTGGCTACCATGCCGCCTCTTTTCTAATTCCGCGGCTTATGTTTATCTCACTTCCTGAGCCCCTGTGCTCGAAATATGTTCGCCTTGGAGCTGGCCGCTTACGGAGGCGAAGTCCACCTTCTCTCGCCCTTCAGTTTTTCTTGCTCCGAAGGTTGCTTTGCCTGGGGCTGCTGGCTCTCAGGTTGTGTAGGTTTCTTGTTCTAGATACGAAGGCTTTCTGGCTATGACCCCCTCGTGTTCTAGCTCTGCAGGGCTTCTGGCTCAGGAGGTTTGTGCTTCCAGCTCTGCTGGCCCATCTGGTTTAGGGGGTGATCTTGTTATAGTTCTGCAGGCTTGCTGGTTCA